CTCATGGTGACCTTATGTGCTCATGGTGACCTTCTGTACTCATGGTGACCTTCTGTGCTCATGGTGACCTTATGAAACACTGCCCGGTCCTATGTCATTCTCACGATCACCAGCATGTGTTAGTCCATTATTGTGGCTATTGTGCCAACCCACCTCACCGACGGCCTCCTTCACCCTCAATGGCCCTCTGCCTCACCAAACATGATGTTCTCCAGTGACTGATCCCTCCTGATGACATGTCCAAAACAAGCAAGTTGGACAATGTTCTGTTGTGATCCATAAGGTTTTCATTGGCTAATTTTCAAAAGTAGATTGCCAGGCCCTTCTTCCTGTCTTTGTCTGGAAGCTCCATTGAAACTTGTCCTCCATGAGTGACCCTGCTGGTATTTGAAATACCAGCGGCATAATTTCTAGCATTATAGCAACGTGTAAGCCACCACAGTACCACAAACTGACAGCCGGGTGGTGGTTTTTGGAACAAGGGAGACTTCAAAATGACGAGGCATCTACCCAAGTCCTGCTTTGTAAGGGAAGGGAAGTGAGAAACTGCCCTTCCCGTGAGCAACCTATAAATCAGGAACATGCCAGGAGCTTCCCCTGATTCTAACCCTGACAGTGCTGAGTGGTGGGGCTCACTGCCCGCTTGGGATGGATGAGGCTCAGAGAGGGTAGGGTGGTGGCTAAGGCCACACAGCCGGCTGATATACAAAGGGAGAGGCGGCCATACAGAGCAACCTGCAGTGGTTCCAATCAACAGCGGAAGGAGCTCAGGGAAGGGAGACGGCACTTTGAGCTCTGTGAAGAAGGAAGCCAGACAGAGAGGACGTAGGGTGAGGGGAGGAAAGCCTTCTTCAAGCAGAAATCGAGAGAAGTGACGTTGAATTGGTGGGGAGAATAAAAACACCATCAGTGTAGGTAGAGAGTCCTTGGATGGGAAATCATGGAAGAGGTGGAAGGGGTCCGGTCTGTCAAGGCAGTGAACACCAGGCCAGGGAGTCAGGACCAGAGTCTGTGGGCGGGACTTCAGAATGTCGCCTCCAACACTCTCTGCCTCTGGACAGTGCCCTGGAGGGCAAACCTAGAGACGTCAAGTCGATTCCGACTCATAGTGACCCGACAGGACAGAGTAGAACTGCCCCATAGGGTTTCCAAGGAGCGGCTGGTGGAGTGAAACTGCCAACCGTTTGGTTAGCAGCCGAGTTCTTAAGCACTACGCCACCAGGGCTCCCTGGAGGGCGCAGGAGAATTAATAATAATAATGAAAGCCAAAGCTATTGACTGTTCACCACAGGCCAGGCACATCACACGGATTACAGCCATTCTCATTATTCGCAGTAGTTAAACCCATTGCCACTGAGTCAATTTTGACTCTTAGTAAACCTATAGGACAGAGTAGAACTGCCCCCATAGGGTTTCCTAGGCTGAAATGTTTACTGGAGCAGATTGCCAGGTCTTTTCTTCTGCAGAGCTGCTGGTGGGTTCGAACCACTGACCTGTTGGTTAGCAGCTGAACTCTCAGCCACTGGGCCACCAGGGCTCCTTTCATGGTGGTTAAACTCATTGCAGTCGAGTCTATTCTGACTCATAGCAACCCTATAGGCCAGAGCAGACCTGCTCCATAGGGTTTCCAAGGCTGAAATCTTTATAGAAGCCAACTGCTACATCTTTCTCCCATTGGAGGTAGTTAGATCCTGTGAAGTTCCCCACACCGCCCTGGTCCCATCTCAGCTGGGCATGTTTCATGCTCTGCGCATGTGCTCATCTTGCAATGCCTGTGAAAGCGCTTGAATATTTTTAGCTAACAGGCAAATCCCCAAATATGGACTCCAAGAATAATGAGGATGCATCTCATTTAGTCCTCACAACAATGCTAGGAAGCAGCTACTATTATTGTCCCCACTTTATAGATGAAAAAACTGAGGTAGAGCGATCAAGTATCTCACCAAAGGTCATTCTGCAAATTGAGTATTGGAACCAACAGATCCCACCAAAAATGTAAGTTTAACACTTTTGTAAGGTCTCCTATTTAAATATTCATACAAATTATGCATTTTATCCTTAATATACTTGTGTCTGTTTTAATACAAAAAAAAAGCCCCTCCCCCCATATACACAAATTGGGGGGAGGGGCTTTAAATTTTTTTTTAATTTTGTTGTTGTTGTTAATATACACAGCAAAACATACACCAGTTCAACAGTTTCTACATGTACAATTCAGTAACATTGATTACATTCTCCAGGTTGTGCAACCATTCTCACCTTCCTTTTCTGACTTGTTCTTCCCCCATTGACATAAACTTAAAGCCCCCTAAGGGTCCTATCTAATATTTCAAGTTGCTGCTGTCAATTTTATCCATGTAGATACTTCTTAAAAGAGCATGATGCTCAAGGCAGACATTTTTTACTAGTTAAGCTAAACTACTGTTTGGTTTTAAGAAGACATCGGGTTATTTTTGGTTTAAGGTTTAAAGATGTATCTCAGGGCAATAGTTTCAGGGGTTCATCAAGGCTGTATGGCTCCAGAAAGTCGGGATTCCATGAGAATTTGAAATTCTATTCTGCCATTCCTCCCACCCCCCTTTTAATCAGGATTCTTCTATAGAATTGGGTGTAATCTTTACAGAAGCAGATCACCAGCTCTGTCTTCTGTGGAGCAGTTAGATGGGTTTGAATTGCCAACCTCTCAGTTAGCAGCTGAGCGCTTAACCATTTATGACACCAGGGCTCCTTCCTGATCAACATAGAAACCCCTTAAGGGCAAGATTTGTATGCAACTATTCCCTGAATCCCATACAGGGTAACATCTTGCACACTGTAGGCCATCAATGAAAATTTCATAAGTAAATGAATCAAAGAACCACACTGTGTTCCCAATCACAGCTACTAATGCTCTGTGGGCAGAGCCACCCAGTGAAACGCTGGGTGAGGCTCCTGGCTCTGAGAACAGGGCTGCGCTCTGCTCAACAGCATCAGGGGACACGGCCGCATTCTTCACTTGTTACCTGCCGCAATCCCCATCTCCTCCCAGTCCCACCCAACAGCTCTGAATCACTTATGACTTCCCCCCAATGCCGTCTTACTCAAATCACCTCGCTTTATACAGGCTTTTAGGGAGAGAGCTTGGCAGTGTGCCTCCTCCTGATCTTCCATTCATGATGCTGAGTTCGTTCAGGAATTATTTTTCTGGGGAAAGTCGTAAGCGCCTGGCAATCAGCTGAGTGGAAAGCGGGCTCCCCACCTCCCTTGGTGATAGCTTCCAAATGAAACTTTCCACCGTGAATGAATGCTTCATCTTCTTTAGTCAAAAAGGAAGGAAATTTGACATCAAACAGGTGCAATGAAATGATGTTTTCTCTGCAAGGGAAAGGGGAGTGCACCAGCTCTCCGTAGCTCACACCAGATGGCCTCATCTAAGGCTCATTAGAGCCGATTATCAGTCAGTCACATATGATTCGGAAGAAGCACACATTTGGGATGGCCGCATGTGCTCTCCCAGGCCCAGGAGTCCATTAAGGGGCTGCGATAACAGCCACTCAACAACCCTCCTCTTACGCTCAACCAGGCTCAGATTGGGCCTCCTGGAAGCGATGAGGACAACAGCAAAGCCACACCCTGAGCTGACTTCACTCCTGACCTGCTTTTGAGAACTCACCAAAAAAAAAAAAGCTGTCATCAAGCTGACTCCGACTCATAGCAATCCCATGTGTGTCAGAGTAGAACTGCACTCCATAGGGTTGCAATGGCTGATTTTTCAGAAGTAGATCGCCAGGCCTTTCTTCTGAGGCAAGGACGCAAACCACCAATCTTTCCATTAGCAGCCGAACGTGTTAATCATTTGCACCACCCAGGGACTCCCAAGAACCCACAGAAGGGTCCTTAAAAAAAAAAAAACCTTCTCTTGCCCAGCCAGCTGCTGCTGGCTTCATCTCTTTAGCCTACATCTCTAATCTCAACAATGACTTTGCTTCTGGATGAAATACAGATGTTCTAGGGAAGGGGTACCTATTAAACAGCTTTAGAATCACTTCCATTTCCAGGCTTGGTGTAGGTGGGGGAAACAGGAGACTCTATTTAACCTGAGGGAGTCTGGGAGAGGATCACTGAAGAGACAGGACCTGCACACAACAGACAGGCTGAGGACGAAGCAGCCACCCCTGGTCACACCCAGGAGCCCAAACACTGAACAAAGAGAGCACATACCTGGGGCATCTGGTCTATGCTGAGCGGCCTCGGGAGCTTCAAGCTCAGCATCTTCAAGCTGGGTTGGGAAGGCGGAAGGGTGACAGCTGCTCCCCCTCACCAGGCCTCACTCAGAGTTCTGACAAGGCCTCAGGTGTCTCTGGCCAGCTGGTGCCCAGCCGCTTCCCTGAAAAAGGACAGAGTGAAGAAATCCAGTCAGTCTCAATCTACCTCCAGCTGGGTCAGGACTGTCGGATGTTTACTATTGACCATACACTTGCTTCTGATGGCAAAACTATCAGACTGTTAAGTCATTCACTCCCACAATGCTGGAGACCAAAACCCATTGCCGTTGAGTCAATTCCAACTCATAGTGACCCGACAGGACAGAGTAGAACTGTCTCATAGGGCTTCCGAGGCTGTAAGTCTTGAAGGAAGCAGACTGCCCCATCTTTCTCCTGCAGAGTGGTTGCTGGGTTCGAACTGCCAACCTTTTGGTTAGTAGCCAAGCTCTTTAACCACTGCACCTCCAGGGCTGAATATTGGAGGGAGGTAATTAAATCAGGAAAACCCTACGGATCACGATGATCCCATCCACAATCCATCACGGGGATGGCGCAGGACCAGGCAGTGTTCCCTTCCATTGTGCACGCGGTTGCCGTGAGTCAGGCACTGACTCAACAGCAAACAACAATAACAATAAATAAGCAATCTTAAAATTTTAGACCTGGAAAGAGCCTTAGAGGTCACCCAATCCTTTCATGTTACACATGGAGAAACAGAGGGTCAGACAGGTCGAGTAACTTCCCCAAGGTTGAACAGCTATTTGAGAGCTGGGGCTACTCATCTCCCATCCTCCCATATGCTGCCACCGGGCAAACTTTATCACACACAAGTCTGCACCCCCCCAGTGGGCGGAAGGGGACCCAGAGATGGGCTCCAACTCACTGAACGAGAGGCAGCTTTTCCAGACTGAACGAGGCAACAAGGCAGACAGGACAACAACTCAAGTTGGTTGCCCTGAGATACAGACACAGACCAGGCAAATCCAGGCACTTGTTGGAGACAGAGTGACACATAGTAAGTAACGAGACCGCTCAACTAACAGACTAAGACCGCTTAACAGCCGTGAGTAATTGAACTAGAGACAGCCAAAGCCTCAGGAAAGGCCCAAGAGACAGAGAAATACAAACTGGCTTTGCCAAAGAAATACAAACTGGGATTGCCAAACTAGGAATTTACCAAAGTTAAGAATGGTTCCTCTTTATACGGCACCAAGAGGTCAAGCAGCAAAAGGAAAAAAAAAAAAATAGACAATTTGGATTTGACATAAACTTTTGTGCTTCAAAGGGTACCATCAAGAAAGTGAAAAGACAACCCACAGAATGAGAGAAAACATTTGTCAATCGTGTATCTGATACGAGACACGTATCCAGAATATATAAAGAACTCTTATAACTCAATAATAAAAAGGCAACCCAATTTAAAAATGGGCAAAGACACTGAGTTTCTGTTAAGGGTGATGAAAAATTTTGGAAATGAATAAGTGGTGATAGTTGCCAACGTTATAAATGTAATTCATGTTACTGAATTGTACATTAAAAAATGTTGAAACAGAAAATGTTTGTGATAAATATATTTAGCACAATTTAAAAAGGTGGGGGGGGGGGCCCTAAGGGTCTACATAGACATTTCTCCAAAGAAGATATATAAATGGCCATAAGCACGTGAAAAGATTCTCAACATCATTAGTCATCATGGAAATAGAAATCAAATCCAAGATGAGATATCACTTTATACCCATTAGGATGGCTAGAATCAAAAAGTCAGATAATAACAGGGGTTGACAAGGGTGTGGTGAAATCAGAACCCTTGTCCATTGCTGGTGGAAATATAAAGTGGTACAGCCACTTTGGAAAATATTCTGGCAGTCCTTCAAATGGTTAACCACAGAGTTACCATATGACCCAGCAATTCCATTCCTAGGTATATACACAAACATATATCCACACAAAAACTAATATACGAATGTTCATAGCAGCATTATTCATAATAGCCAAACAGCTGAAACAATCCAAATGTCCATTAACTGACAAACCAATAAACAAAGTGTGTATATCCACACAATGGAATATTATTCTGCCATAAAAAGGAATGAAACTCTGATACATGCTACAATGTAGATGAACCTTGAAAACATTACGCTAAGTGAAAGAAGTCAGTCTCAAAGGACCACATATTACATGATTCCATTCATATGAAATGTCCAGAATAGGGAAATCTATAGAGATAAAAAGTAAATAAGAAGTTGCTTAAGACTGTAGGTGGGGGATAAAGGTAGCAGAGTGGTAGCTAAAGGATATGGGGTTTCTTTTTGAGGTGATGAAAAAAATTGACTATGGTGATGGTTGCATATATCTTTGAATATACTAAAAACCATTGAATTGTTTGCTTCAAATGGGTGAATTGTATGATATATGAATTACATCTCAATAAAGATGTTAAAAAAAAAAAGAATTCTTCCTCTATCCCCATTATCACTCGACCACAGTCTACCACCTCCTTAGAGCCCTCCCCATAGTCCTGATCAATCAGGGGGCTCTTCCCCTGCCTCTGAAGTCCCCAAAATGTTGCCTGTACCTCTCTTGTGGCACCAACCACATTACACTAGAAATCAAAGCCACTGCCAATACCTGGTGTCCCCCTGTTGGGGAGGATCCTCCTGTGAATGGCTGGAAACCCAGTGTGTTTGCCCAGCTCTTCCTGGGTCTTTGGTCAATACTTATTTAATAAAGCAATGCTGCTCATCCTCTGAGCTTAGAAGTGTTTCGTTTTGTTTTGGTTTGGTGATTTGTTTATTTTTACTTCTTATTATAGTTCTTTACGTTCTATGTGTTATTGTCTACAACTATCTAGCAAAATACAATTCATTTATGTTTCACTGTCATAAATGGTTCTTTCTAAAAAACACTGGAGTACGTGGGCCAAGGTACACCGTTGGTTTTTTTTTGTTTTGTTTTGGTTTTCCATGCCAACATTTTCCACGTCTAAATCAAGTCCTTTGATTTAGACTCCCAGAAGTACTGCTAATTCACCTAGTGGCAGGACAAGAGGCGAAGACCCAGTACCAGGGGAAACTGAAACACCTCAAACAATAATAGGAACCAAGGCTGGCACTACACAGACCTCCCCACCTCCATCCTCTGGGTTTCCCTGGATTCAAATCAATATCCTTGGCAAGAAAAGGGAAATACATGGCCCCTGCTCTCATAGCACACACTTCCTATGAAGGATGACCAGAATAACATGCAAAAATGAAGAGTAACACACAGTACTACAAGATTCACTTATTTCTTCATTCAACTAATATTTATGGCATTTTTATCATGTGATCAGTAAGGTTAAGGGCTAAATGTATAGCTGACTATTCTCTATGTGCTGTAGCAGCTTAAGGAAAAAGGGGAGGCTTTAACTTAGCCTACGAATTGGGTAGGCTCCATAAATGGTGCTGGGACAACTGAATATCCACACGCAAAAGAATGAAGTTGGATCCCTACCTCACACCCTCTACAAAAATTGACTCAAAATGATTTTGCCTGGGCAACAGTTTCTTAGACACGACACTTAAAGCCCGAGTGACAAAAGAAAAAATACAGACAAATTGGACTTCATAAAAATTGAAAACTTTGGGCTTCAAATGATACCTTCAAGAAAGTGAGAAGACAATTCATGGAATGAAGGAAAAGATTTGTAACTCATATATCTGATATCCAGAATATATTAAAAAAAACTCTTACAACTCCCTAATAGAAAGATAAATAACCCAATTTAAAAATGGGTAAAGGACTTGAATAGACACTTCTCCAAAGAAGATACACAAATGGCTAATAAGCACATGAAAAGATGCTCAACATTATTAGTCATTAAGACACACTGCCATCAGGTCGATTCAACTCATAGTGACCCTGTAGGGTTTCCAAGGCTATAAATCTCTACAGAAGCAGACTGCCACATCTTTCTCCTGAGAGTCACTGGTGGTTTCGAACTGCTGACCTTTCAGTTAGCAGTCAATCACTTTATCCACTGTGCCACCAGGGCTTCATTAGTTCTTAAGGAAATAACAAATTGAAACCACAATGTAATACCACTTCCCACATACTAGGATGCCTAAGATAAAAAAGACAGACAAGGGCTGGTAAGGATGTAGAGAAAGTGGAGCCCTCATATATTGCTGGTGGACTGTGACATGGTGCAGCTGTTTTGCAAGACAGTCTGGCAGTCGCTCAGAAAGTTAAATATACGGTTACCATACCATATGACTCAGCAATTTCACTCCTAGGTATTTAGCCAAGAGAATTGAAAATATGTCCACACAAAAAGTGTGCACATGAATGTTCACAGCAGCATTATTCATAACCACCAAACAGTGGAAAAACCTAAATGTCCATCAATAGATGAATGGATAAGCAAAAAATGGTATATTCGTATAACGGAATATAATTCAGTCATAAAAAGGAATAAAGCACTGATGTATGCTATAACACAAATGAACCTTGAAAACATGCTAAATGAATGATTTCGGCCAACACTTGCTATTATTATTGCTTTTCAGCTGGGAAAAAGAATTTTATATTTTACAGAAAGAAAAATGGAGGGGTTGAAAAGTCAGAGGGCTTACCCAAGACCACACAGCTAGTAGAGGTAGAAGTGGGGTTTGATTTCTGGTCTTCTTCAAGGTCTGTGGAGGGAAGAGGGGGTGGTGATGCTTCACAGAGTTGCTGTTGTTTGAGTTGAGGACTGTGGATTGCTATAGACTTGGCAAGCGACCCCAGATGCTAGACACTTCACAGTGTACTCTGTAGTACCCTAGGTTATGCCCTAAGGACCACTTTTGGAGATGGAGGTGGTGCTGGTGGCTAGAAATGGAGAGGTCACTTCTATCCCTACTTCATCTTCCACTTTTTTCTGAATTATAGCGGGAACATAGTAATGCAAGCCCTCTGGTGGTATAGTGGTTAAGAGCTATGGCTGCTAACCAAAAGATCAGCAGTTCAAATGCACCAGGTGATCTTTGGAACC